GAATCATGAATATACAATAATTTTGGTAAAACATGATACTATCAACATTTGATATGTTAGAGTTCAAGCTATAAATCAAAAAGTGTTTAGTTCATGATTTCAAATTTAATTCTAAGGGATATGTCAACTGCATTGAAATGTTTTCTGTCTTTTTTCATTTAATAAAATTTTTAAAAGCAACTAGCTTAAAAAAATAAATAACATAAAAATACTATATTATGATGTTGATGATCAAAATTTCATAAAAAATTTTGTGTCTAAAGAATAATATATTTTAAAATATTATCATCACGTGCAAAGCTAGTGAACTATTACTAGTGGTATAAAAAATCTAAAGTCATACCCTTGCATAGCATGAGTACTAGTAGGACGATTAATACTCGGACCAATCTCAACTTGGCCATCTCTGTTCAGCCAAATTGCCAGGAAACTCTTCTACACTTCAGCAAAGTACTAGGCCTGGTGCCCCGCGAGTTTCGCGGGTGTCCATTGTTGATTGTTTAATGATAATGTAGGTTATAATTTTAGAGAAAAGTTTTTTTTAATTTTGGTTTTTGGTTGTATATTTTTGAATTTTTTAGTTTTTGAAATATTATTGAAGTAATATTTTTGGAATATAGTTAATGGAAGGTAATGGAAAGTGGTATAATTAATTTGTATTTATTAAATAGCTATGGATTTTTTGTTGATAAGTGTTTTATGGTAGTTACATTTGTGTTATGTTATTTAATTTAAAAATGGAAGAACTTTAAGTTAATAATTCAATTATTAACGAATATTATTTAAGGAGTATTTTTGAAATAGAGAGAAATTATGTTATATTGTGAAAAATAATTGGTTGGAGTAAAATATATTTTGGAAAAAGTGGAGATATATAAAATGGGTAATAAATAGGATATAAAAATATATTTATATGTTTTTGTAGCGAAAATAAGTCTGTGTTTGTATTATAGAATTAAAGTTGTGTTTTTAGAGAATAAATATTTTTGTTAATATATACATTGTGGAAGATAAATTATATATAAAGGGTATAGAATTAATTATAACTATTTTTTGAATAGAAAGAAATTATTGGATATTTTTAGAAAATGGTTGGTGAAGTGAATGGAAGTTAAAGATAGATTGGTATAGTTGATTTATATTTATTGGATGTGTGTGAAGTTTTTGTTGATATATATATATTTTTGAGAAAATGAAATTTTTTTGATATATATATTTTGGGTGAGAAAATGTATGTTATGATTGTTTGATGTTGTTTATATTATCTGTTTTTTTGTTTATATATGTGTGGTTATTATTGTAAATATTTAGAGTGGGCGGTAATGGTAAAATTTTGTGAAGTTGTGTAATGAGAGGAATTTCATAGTTGGTGGTAAATTTTTTATTTCATTACATAAATGATGGATAATTTAGGGGAATATAACTGTTATGTCTCATAAGCTGTAATGAACATTTGTTGATCAGGATTGCTGGATGAAGTCTCTGTCAAAGAGGTTGACAGAATAATTGTTTTCGTTGAGCAGGGTAAACAATAGTTATTAAACCCGGCCTGGAGAGGAATCCGGTGAAAGAGGTGGGTCAACGGGTTACTGGTTCAACCAGTGGGTGAATGGTCCAACCGGTGGGTCACTACATATATTTAAATATTATGTTTTATAATTTTTGATATGGTTAAAACTATAATAAACTATGTTATAGTAAATACTCAGTTAGTCCAATTTATTATAGAATCATTAATTCTTATAAGAATTAACAAAACCTAAATTTAATTAGTAATCCACCAAACTTCAAGTATAAAATTTTATCTAAGTGTAATTATCTAGTTTATTTTTGAATTTTAAGCACAAAAGGTTATTAAGAATAATATTTGTTTTTAAAATGAAATGTGTAACATGTTATTTTTTAAATCCATTTCATAATTTATAGAATTTAGAGAATAATAAAATTTTATTAAAAGATTCCAAACAAATATTGTTTTGAAGAAATAAAATAAGAATAAAAATCTAAGATATAATATAGAAGAAGTGAATAAGCACCAAGTGAACTGCTAGGCTAGTGGTGAGTGCGCGTAGCTTTTATGCTTGAAGTCGGAGGTTCAAATCAGCATTGGACCAGCCCGGTTTCATGGCCGGTTCACCGGGTTGACCGGTTGAACCACCTTCTGTTATCTGCATTCCTTGTAGTGAACACAATTTTAAAGAGTCTATTAGCTCATTGATATGAAAAATTAATCATGGTTGTTAGCTCATTAATATTTATGTAACCATGAAGTCATTTATTTATTGATTAATGAATATGTTACTCAAAATCAACAAATAGTACATGGGCTTCTGTGTTATGGAGAAAAAACACAATTTTAAAGAGTAATTTTAAACAGTCTATTAGATCATTGATGTCAAAAATTACTAACACTTGTTAGCTCATTATATTTATCTAATCATGAAGTAATTTATTTATTGATTAATGAATATCTTATTCAAAGTCAACGAATAGTACATGAGCTTATGTGTTACAGAAATTTAAATTACAATAAGGTGACTCGAGGCATTATTTTTTACAAAATCAATATGTTTGTTAATATATATTTTTTGAGTAATTAATTTATTGATTAATGAATATCATAATAAATATAAAAGAGAAGAGAGAATTATAGTTTGAAGAAAGAAAATGGAGGAGAAAGAAAAGGACGAAATTGGGGAGAAAAGCTAACATTTGTGAGTAAAGTCAGGCAACAGCGGAAGATCCAGGAGAAACAAAAGGACAAAATTGGGGACAAAATTACAGGCGAACCAAGGGAAAGGGCAGAATGGGAACAAAGCAACAAAAAAAGCAACAAGGACAAGCGGAAGCAGAAGCAAGGGCGCTACATGAAGCCCGCGAAAAGACGAAAAAGGACAAAATGAGCTGCAAAACCACAGCGAAACCGGCACAATCAACTGTTCATCAGGCTTCGCGGCTTTAAGTAGTTTAGATACTTTCTTTTGTTCTGTTGTTGATGGAGAGATGCTTGTTTTGATAGTTTCTTTACTTGAAAACTAAAATCTTTATCGAAGTCTTCCATTCTTATCCATAGCCAAAAGATCTGTGAGGTCATTGGTTGTCTTGAATTTTTATCCTGTCAAAAAGCAGAATTTCTAGTAGTCTTTGGCTGCTTTTTTCTTTTTTTTCTTTTTTCTTTTTCACTTTGGCTGCTTTCACACAAATGCTCAGCTGCGCAAAGGGAGAGTCTCACCCAATTAATGTCCTTACCAACCACCATTAATTTTCTCTTTCTCCTTTTTTCTTCTTCATTTTTGTTTGTTTGTTTGTTTGTTTTGCTTTGATTGGTTTGAAAAAAATTCGTCTACCAAGTCTATCTTTCCATCAGTTGCTTGCTTCATTTTATCTTTTCTATTCAATGGGAAATGCACTGGAAATTGAATCATCGTTGTCAGGAATGCTCATTTGCGACACTTTCTACATCCTTGAGTCCAGTAATTTTTGCCTGAGAAAAGTCATATATACGGTACATTTGACAATGGAAGTAACTCGATAATTGGACGTCATGCATTTTTTTCCCTCCTCGATCTTGATCTAACGGTTGTCTCGCGACAATATCCATATTGGCTACTAGTGACAGCCTATTTGCAATCAATATATTGACAAACAATAAAAATCGATCATCCAATTTGATGTGATTAAAACAAGTTAGTAGAATTATGGGGAGACTTTTCGTAACGCAAGAAATTGTTGCAAAATGAAATATAAAGAAGGAATTAAAGGAGGACATTCGCTCTTCATTTGCCTTTTTTTTCTTTTTCAAGTTAATTTTCAATTTAAAGAGGGACTCAAAGTGGGCAAATTTGTGCAAGTAGTAATAATAATAAAATTATCCCACAAATGAAGCTCTTTTTTTTTTTTTTGTGGGATAATGAACAATCTCTAACTACTGTGGTTGATCCAATAGCTAGTGGAAGACTTTTAGAGTTCTGTCCATTATAAGGTTCAAGATTTGAATGGTAGACGTGACACGAGGAGGTGGAAAGGATGCGAGCAAGGGTGGAAAAGTAAAAATGAAGAAAAAATCTCATTGATACAAAATGTCTTGGTTAACTGTTCTTTATCTCATTATTGTCTTTTCTATGCAGTTTCCGGGACGCTGGACGGGTCAAGGTCGTCCTCGTTGAGACCGCATTCGCCCTCTCGTTTCTCGTAAGGTTGTTGCCGTCAAAATTCCTCTGTTCACTTTTGACTGGCTTTCAAATCGTGTAAATTACATATTAATTCTTCAAATTATTCTTGGAAACTCCCTGTGTCATTTTTTTTTCAAGAAAAAAGAAAGAAAAGCATTGCTTAATTAATTGGTGAGTAATTCAATAAGTTTCGCTAGATCTCCATGCTTTTGTAGATTAGTTAACTCCTCAAATTAATATATAGCAAAGTAATATGTTTCCCCTCTATACAAAACTTGAAGCTAAAGACAGTAGGGTAGGAAATATAACCAATTCTAATTCTATTTTAAGCTCGTATAGCCATATTAAATGTTACTATTTGAATATTACGAAGATCGGAAAGAAACATACTTATGGGATTTGGACTGTAGTTAATTGCTATGCAGTCCTTAATTTAGAATTATTTGAATGCATTTCCCTTGCTAAAGCGGGTAGAAACTTCCACTTTCTTTCTTGCACCAAATAATAACAATTAATTAATAATAATAAACATAATTGCTATAGGTCCCATACTCTTTTGGATTATTCACATCAAAGGACAATTTCTAGTCGCTGGTCCATTATGTTGTCACTCACGCAATTACTCCATTATCTTCTCATCGTTTCAGACTACATTCCAGTTTCATATTTGGTCTGTTTGGATAGAATATTATTTAAAATATTATTTAAAATAATTACTGTAGTATTTTTTGTAACATAATATATATGAGATAAAAAGGTGATTAAAATATTAAAAATAAATAAATTAAAAAATATGTTTATGATGTAACCGAAATATTATTCTGATGACTTGGTAAACATCTTCTTATTCCCTGCACTTTCTTTGATCACAGATTCAATCCCAAACCTTTTCTCCAACTTCACTCGTCACCGTTTCTCATTTCAGTACACCATTCTTCATTACCACCAATCCACCCAAGGAGCAGAAGAGATAGAGAAGCTTCATCATCAACCTCTGGACTGAAAGAAGAGATATAGACTCTACAATTCACCAAAGAGATAGCCCAAAATTATTTGAAGCAAACTTGTTTTGTCTGCTACGTAAGTTTCATTTTGCTTCGACTTCACTGCATTTTTAATTTTCAATTTTTGCAACTGCTTGGCATTTTGTTAAACTCGTTTCATATGGTCTTAGCAAAATATTGTTCTTTACTATTATCGTTATTATTATTAATGTTCTTTTATAAACTCTACAATTAGTTTCCAGTTTGCTTTCAAGTTTGCAAGTGAAGGTTTGAGGTTGAGAATGAGGAGATCTAAACAATTTTAGTTGGAAGATTGGCGTTAAAATTAAAATATTTTGCCAACTTATTTTAGTTGATTGTCTATTAATTTTTCAATTTTTAGAAAAAAAGGGAAATTTTCGTTTCCTTTTCCTTTTCAAAATTCATCTTCTTATTAGTTAATTTTCATGAAAAGGAAAAAGAAAAGCAAAGGATTTCATTTTGAAAATCAACAAATCAAACAGAAAAAAAAAAGAAAAGAAATATTGTAGAGATCATTTTCCTGACTACTTTTGTTCATAACCAGACAAGATGAGGGATTTAACATTTCCAAAGTAATTTACTTTTCTTCTCTTTGATTTCCTTTTCCTTGCTAAATTCGTAGAACAAATAGGGCCTTGTTACTAGGAATCTCCCCCCCCCCCCCCCTCTTAAGGTCATGCTATGGTTATGTTAACGTGCTCATTAGTGTAAATCCTGAATCAACTGGAGTTGAAATTGATGAAAACGTGTTTGATTTTCAAACTCTTAATCCCATGCCCATAAGATTTTCAGAAAGAGGATAATTTTGAGTTTATATGAAGATTGATTTGATATCTAAAAATATAAAGGCCTTCCGTTTTCAGATCACTGGTCAAATTATAAACTTCAAAACATGTGATGCCATATTCCATAATCAACTTTTTTTTTTTTTTTATAAATATATAATCAATCTAAGATAGTCATGAGATGGTGTCCTCTATTTTCAATGGTACCTTAAAACTTCAAGTTTTTATAGCACTCTCTTTAATATTTTGGATGCACCTTGGAAGAATATTCTTTCTACAATTTATCTTCCAAGGCTAGAATTCTCTCAAGGCAAACCAAAGTTTGGTGACACGAACAATAACTCTTTCCTAACCGATTATTTCTGAAGAAAGAAATCTAAAATTTTCTAATATTTTTTTGCAATCCTATTAAACTTCAAATGAGAGAAGCAAGCGTATGTTATTTCAATGGAGTTGCTTGCTTGCTTCATTTTAGCTTTTCTATCGAGTTGCTTGCTTCATTTTAGCTTTTCATTTCAATGGCGAAATGCACTGGTAGCCCTCTTTGCACCAAATATATTGACAAACAATAAGCATCAACATACTTAATTTGATGTAAAACTAATGAGTAGAATTATGGGCGGGCTTTGTGTAAAACAAGAAATTCTTGCAAAATAGAATCTAAAGAAAGAATTAAAGGAGAAAATATACTCTTTGTTTGCTTGCTAACTAATTCCAACTTAAATTTAAACTATAATTTCATACGCTGTCTATGTAAATAGATAAATTTATAGTTAAAAGATTAAAAAAAATTGTTTCCGCAAGAGCATGATTCATCTTCACTTGCATTCCTCAAGTAATTGAGGGAAGCTTATCATAATAATATAATAGATGTGAGCATTTTGAATTAGATTTACTGTCGTATAAATTCAATTTCTACTTTCGTAGAGCTGTAGATTAATCACATCAAAGGACAACTTATTTCTCCCTGGTTAATTCATCCGTTCCCACCATCAAAGGGGTGCAGTGCAGTGATTAGCCACACATTTGCTTCCTGGTCCACGTATTGCTCAGTTTCCATTCTCTTCTTTCAGACTACATTCTAATTTTCTGAATATTCTGTGGTACAACAACGAACCTTGAGCACACAGTCTCCACCAAAAAGGAGTCGACAGGTAGTAAAGCTTCAACAATTACTGGACTGGACTGACTACTAAGCCCGATATCATTTGACCGTAAGCTTTATTTTTCTTTAATTTCTTTTTCATTATCAAAATTTGCAAATTCTAATGAATTCTGTTAAAATTCATCAAATATGGTAATTACAATCACTATTTTTAGCAAAAGATGGAAATTTACTACGATCATTGATAAAGTTTTACAAGAGGAAAACCTCAATTAAATCAAGAGCTAATATTGAACTAAGGATAAAAAAAAAAAAAAGCAACTCATGATACAAGAAAGTCTCCCATAGTTTCAAAAACATACAGTCCCACATCTCGTGGTTTTGAGCTAAACTGAAAGGCAACAAACATCGTCAAACTAATTGAGGCACATGCGCTTACTTTACAACTAGTGGTACCTGAAAACAGTTTTTTTATAATCAATTTTCAATTGATATACTTATTTTGTCCCTTATAAAAAAGCATCCTATGGTTAGCCCAACCTACAGAAAAAAAAAAAAAATCCTCTCTAATTTTAAAACATACAAGTTGGATTTGATCTGAAACTTTTTGAAAATATATTGAAAAGGGAGTAAAGTTTTTTGAGAGAAATCAACCATCAATCTTATGCACGCTACTTTTGAGAAATGGTAAAAGTTTTAAATTTGGAATTTTGCTATTATAATATTACCTTAAAGTAAGAATTTCAATACTTTTTCTTTGTATAAAGTGAAGAAAATTTTTGCAAAATAGTTGCTTATATCTGTCTCAAGCTCTCGAATGGGCACTAGAACTAGACCCTACGATACAAGTGCAAGATTTATAAGCGTTCACAAGAAATGAAAGTAAAAATTGTTGAGGTCGAAAAGGCCATCAAAAGGATTGTTGTACTTTACATGTGCAATGAATGATTGTGGATTTCTTTCTTTTTTTTTTGTGATGATCATGTTATCCCATATACATATATTAACTAAACCAAAACAACTATTTTATGTGTGAAAGGGATGAAAATTATATTTTTTGAAACCATGGGAGACTTTTTTGTAAGTTGGTTTAACCACAAGGGGCTTTTCTGCATTTTATCCATATATATATTAAGATATTTTTGTCATTTTGTCTACTCACATTAGTTTTAACGATTTCTGTCAACTTTCCAATTTAATTCAAGCCATAAGATGTCAAATTGTATATTTTGAAACTATTGAGAGCTTTCCTATAAATTCGCTTGACCACAGGCGCTCTTTTGTTTTTTTCTCTTGAACTAATGAGCCAATTTCTGATTATCCTTAGTCCTCCCCTATGTTCTAATCATCTTGAACGTGGTGTGGTTATGTTTAATAGTGTAAACTTTAGATAAATTGGAGTTGAAATTGATGTAACACAAATCTATATCCGCTTTCAACGTTGTGTTTGGATTGCATTTTCCGTCATTTTTCATGGAAAAATTACTGTAGCGATTTGATATATGTGAGGAAAAAAGGTGATAGGGAAATGTGATCACGGAAAACGACAATATTTTCCGACGGAAACAAGCAATCCAAGCATTTCAAACTGTTGATTCTTCGAATGAATTGAATTTCGATTCATGTGAGAAAATTGTTTTTTCTCAAGTGACATGATGACTATTATTGGACTCATACATGATTGCAAAAAGTTAAATCTAAAAATTGTGTTAATCACAAAAGGGAGGTAAAAAATTACTATTAACTGTGTAGTTGTTATATTTTTCACCAATTCTCTTCTGTCTTCTATTTTTTCAAAAGTTTTGTGCTGACCACTCTCATTTTTTAAACGTTGCAAGTAGTCTTTAGTCCATTTCACATATTTTATATTGACTTTAAGAAAAATATTAACTTCTCTAAATATTTTTAGAATATTACTAAATCAGTTGATCTACAAAATTTAATTTCCTATTAAATCCTTTATATTACATATTATTTTCTTAGAATTTTGTTTATTGTCTCCAAATATATCCCATTATTAAACATGTATTACAATTAACTTTTGTAACTAATTGGCTATTTCATTTAGTACTTAAAGTAAAACTTTGCGATATGTTCATATTGATAGATTTTTTCCTTATGTAGGGTGATAAGAAAGAGAATATAGAAACATGAGCTACAATATAAATTTGACATACTAATACGTTTTTTAATTAAATACTGGGTATACAACTTCCTCACTATATTTTGTGAACTTGATTTTTATTGGTGTTTTCTTGCAATTATCTTCATAACGAAGAACTTGTTGTTAGACAATTTTGGTTTAGAATATTTTGTATTAAATTGCAAGTAGATATCAAGTTCGAATCATTAAACCAAAGAAATGGAAATTAAAATTAATTTATAGGTCCCAGACTATTCTGGATTTTTAGAATTTTTTAGAATTTGATTTTTTTCCTTTTCTTTCTTTTTTTGGCATTAAATGGACTGATAATTGGAGCAAAGTCATTAAGCAAAGGTCGAGTACAGTCATTGAGAATTTCTGAATGGATGAATCAGTGTCTAATTTCTTCCGTTCCTACATTTCACTTTACTAAGCGGGCAGAAACTTCGACTTTCTTTCTTATACCGAAGTAAGAAAGAATACACACAAACACACATATATGTGTATATATATATATGTATATATATATATATCCCATACTATTCTGGATTACTCACATCAAAGGACAATTTCTGAATGGATGAATCAGTGTCTACTTTCTTGCGTTCCTACATTTCACTTTACTAAGCGGGCAGAAACTTCGACTTTCTTTCTTATACCGAAGTAAGAAAGAATACACACAAACACACATACACACACATATATGTGTATATATATATATATATATGTATATATATATCCCATACTATTCTGGATTACTCACATCAAAGGACAATTTCTTGTCGCTGGTCGTTCTATATCTATTAATTACCCACGCAATTGTTTTCTAATGACTTGGTAAACATCTTCTTATTTCTTGAACTTTCTTTGATCACAGACTCTATCCCAAACCTTTTCTCCAACTTCGCTCGTCACCATTCTTCATTACCACCAATTCAACAAAGGTGCAGAAGAGATAGAGAAGCTTTCATCAACTTCTGGTTTGACTTGTGAGACCGAAATCATTCGAAGCAAACTTGTCTTGTCTGCTACCGTAAGTTTCATTTTGCTTCGACTTCACTGCATTTTTAATTTTCAATTTTTGCAATTGCATGGCATTTTGTTAAATTCGTGTCATATGGTCTTAGAAAAATATTATTGTTCTTTATTATTACTGTTATTATTATTATTAAAACAAATGCAAGTCTATAATATTCTTTATAGACTATGCAATTAGTTTCCAGTTTCCATTCAAGTTTGCAAGTGACGGTTTGAGGTTGAGAATGAGGTGATCTAAACAATTTTAGTTCAAGGTTTGGCGTCAAAATTAAAATATTTTGCCAACTTATTTTAATTGATTGTCTGTCAAGATGAGGAATTTACCTTTCTTTGCTTTCATTTCCTTTTCCTTGCGAAATTTGTAGAACAAATAGGGCCTTCGTACTAGGAATCTTCTGCCCCCCCGCCTCTCCAAAAACCAAAACCAAAAAAAAATCATTCTACGATGATGTTAACGCATTTATTAGTGTAAATCCTGGATCAACTGGAGTTAAAATTGATGAAATCAAGTTTGATTTTTAAACTCATGATCCCATGCCCATAAGATTTGTAGAAAGAGGATAATTTTGTGTTTTTATGGAGATTGATTTGAGTTCTAAAACTATAAAGATCTTCCGGTTCAAAATCACTGGTCAAATTATAAACTTCAAAAAATGTGATGCCATAGTGGATAATCAACTTTTTTTTATTACATAATCAACCTAAAATAGTCTGTGTTTTTAAACTTCAAATGACATTAACAAGGGCAGCGGATCGTCCCCAAGTCTAAAAATTTATGTTATTTGTCCTTGAAACTCTGAAATATTTTCATGAGGTTAGAGATAACTTTTAGAATTCTTTCCACTGTTAGTGAATTTTGGATCTGACAATTTTGAGGTGGAAAGGATGTCGGTACGAAACAGATGGTTAAAAAAAATCTTTAAAAAAAGAGAGTAAAACTTGGCCCTACAAAAAATTTAGTAACTTTCACATTGACCCCAAATTACAGGTCTTGAATTCTTATCCTAGTCTGACTGGCCAAGACTTCCTGACCAGGGTACAATGAAACTCCCCATAGTCAAAAGCAGAATTTCTAGGCTTTGGCTGCTTTCACACGAATGCTCAGCTACTCCGATGGAGAGTCTCATAAAGGTTTATGATACTTTCACATTCTTTTCAACATTTTAAACACTTTTTGATCCTTTTAGATCAAACATGTATAATTTGATAAAATACATAATAAAAGTGTTCAAGGAGTTTTTCGGAATGCATATTCCGGTCATGAAACCAGAATAACATGTTGTACAACCTTTATTTTACTTTCGGCCAAAAATTTGCATAAAGAAAATAAAGCAACTTTCTTTCCCTTTTCTTGAAATACTACTATAGGTCGCGCAATCACTTTTGAGTAATCACCTCACAGGACAATTTTTTGTCACTTGTCAGTCTGTCTTGTTCTTTTCTTGATCACCACCAAAGGGATTTAGCATGGTGGCCACCAATAAAAAGGGATTAAGTATTTTTTTTGAATTCTAGGTTGGAAATTTAAATTCCACCTATTTTGAAAAAAATTTAAAGAAATTGTCAAAATATTTCTTTAATTTAATTGAGTCTGTATATCTGCTAATCCTTCATATAATCTCTTTAAACTCCTTCTCTCTATAGAATAGAATAGATTAGATTATATAAATATTATTGTAGTCAATAAAAAAAAACAAAGGGAATCAATATTGTTTTCCTCACCAACTACCATTACTTTTTTTCTTCTTCTTCTTTTTTGTCTTTGTTTTGCTTTTGTTGGTTTGAAAAGTTCATCCACCATGTCTGTCTTTCTATCAAGTTGCTCGCTTCATTTTAGCTTTTTCTTTTCAATGGCGAAATGCACTGGACATTTGTTATAACAGATACATCGGAACGGATTGAACAAAACAAGAACACAAGAACAAACTTGGGAGAAATCAGATTTTTATTAGGGTTTCGGAGCGTATCAGAATTACATTCAGAATGAATATAAGATATATATATATATATATATATATATATACAACCAAACGGACTGGACCCAAACATAGGTCCAAAACCAAGACCCAAAATAAAAACGGACACGGTAACTAAGCTATACTAGCTTAGCGAGGGTCGAAGACCTGATTCAAGACATCCCAACAATCTCCACCTTGACTTGAATCTTCTCGGAAACAGATGTAACAGACGCACTAATGAAGTGCCAGATGTACTCAAAGTCTTCTTTTGCCATCAGAATTATCTCTAAGTACCATCAGAATGCCCATAAGGGCTATCAGAAGCTTATGACATTTAACAAGTCCAAATAATGTTTGAATCTACTATGAGGAACAGGCTTGATGAACATATCAGCAGGATTGTCAGCAGTGCCAATCTTCTTCACCTTGATCCTTGTCTCAGATCTCAAGAAGTGATATCGGACATCAACGTGTTTAGTCCTCTCATGATAGACTTGATCCTGGCTAGACATATTGCACTGAGACTATCACAATATATATTAGCCTGATCCTGATGTAGGCCAAAATCTCCAACTAGTCCCTTTAATCAAATTCCCTCTTTAGCAGCCTCCGTTAGTGCTATATACTTTGCTTCAGTAGTGGACAAAGTCACTATAGGTTGTAGAGTTGCTTTCCAACTAACTACATAATGCCCAAGAGTGAAAACATAAGCAGTCATCAACCTCCTACTATCAACATCTCCAGCATAATCAGAATCTGAATAGCCTGTAATCAAATACTCTGTATCACCTCCATAGATGAGACCAACATCAGACGTACATCTCAGGTAATGAAAAATTTGCTTCATAGCCAACCAGTGCTCCTTCCCAGGATTAACCATAAATCAACTAACAACACTAACTGCCTATGCCAGATCAGATCTAGTGCAGACTACGGCATACATCAAACTGCCCACTGCACTAGAGTAGAGAACCTTAGCCATATACTCTATCTCTGCTTCTGACTGTGGTGCGAGTGTAATTGATAGTTGAGCATTCGCTGCACTCGGAGTATTCAAGGGCTTTGCTGTAGACATGCCAAATCTGGACAGTACCTTTTCAATATAGCTCTTCTGTGATAAGAAAAGCTTATTCTGAGCTCTATCCCTGAAAATCTCCATTTTCAGAATTTTCTGTACTGCACCTAAGTCTTTCATGTCAAACTCTGTACTGAGAAGACCTTTCAATTTCTGTATATCAGTTTTGTTCCTCGTAGTTATGAGCATATCATCTACATACAGAATCAAGTAGATCATCGAACCATCTTCAAGTTTGTTGTGATATACACAACAATCATACTGACTTCTGTTGTAGCCGAACTCAATTATATAACTGTCAAACCTTTGGTACCACTGTCGAGGAGATTGCTTTAATCCATACAAGGATTTCTTCAATTTGCACATATAATCTTCTTTTTCCGGAACATGGAATCCATCTTGCTGAGTCATGTAAATCTCTTTCTCTAACTCTCCATGTAGGAAAGATGTTTTCACGTCTAACTACTCAAGTTCTAAGTCCTGATGTGCAATCATTGCTAGTAGGACCCTGATAGAAGTGTATCTGACCACTAGTGAGAAAATTTCAGTGTAATCTACTCCTTCTCTTTGAGTGAACCCTCTTGCAACAACACGTGCTTTATACTTGATGCCTTCAGCTGGAGAAATTCCTTCCTTCCTTTTAAAAACCCATTTGCAAGTCACAATCTCTCTTTGGTGGCCGTTTGACCGGTTCCCAGGTGCCGTTCTTGTGTAACAACTCCATTTCATCACCCATTGCAGCAAGTCATTGAGCTGACTTACTGCCTGAAATAGCTTCTGTATAGGTGGAGGGCTCAAGAAAATCCACCTCCTCAGCAACCTGAAATGCATAGTTTACAAAATCCCGATACTTGCTGGGAGGTTTTACTCTCACTCTTCTCGCACGATCATAAGCAATACCGTGCTGCTAAGTTTCTGATGCAGTATGGGATATAGGTGGCAAACGTTCTGGTGAAGCAGGTTCTGAAGACTCTACTTCTGTAAGAGGTTCAGTTTCAAAGGATAGCTGTTGGTGATCATCAAATTGCTGCTGTGATTCAAAACCATTTTGAATGATTTGTAGCTCCACCTGTTTATCAACACCTGCACTTTCTTTAACAACAGTCTTCACAGGAGGGTTGAGCATAGAGTTTTCATAAAAAATTACACTTCTGCTAAGTATAACTTTCTTTTCTGAGGGTGACCAGATTCTATACCATTTAACCCCATCTTCATATCCCAGAAACACTCCCTTTTTAGCCCTTGGTTCTAACTTGTCCTCACTGACATGATAATACGCAGTACAACCAAAAGCCTTCAAATTTGAATAAGTAGGGGACATATTAGACCACACTTCATATGGTATCTTGCAGTCTATACCTGTATGAGGTGCACGCTTGATCAAGAAACAGGCTGCTTCCGCCCAGAACCTCCTTGGCAGCCCACAAATGTGGGGCAACCTCATGTGGATGATTTCTTTTAATTCATCGATTATGTGTTTAGAATAGCAGCTTTTTTCATATGGGCGTATTATTCCTCATCCTTAGCTGTCTCTTTTACTTTAACAGAGGTCAGGTTTGGTCCCCCTCCAATTTGCTGTACTCTTTCTCGGTATAAATAAATTAAGGGATGGCATCCCGACTCCAATTTGGGGCTTTGCCAAAAAAAAAAAAAGCATACACCATGCTCTCTCTAGAAGTGTTTTATTCATGCGTTCTGCTACACCATTTTGTTGTGGTGTGTGTCGAACTATGCGGTGCCGAGCAATTCTTTCATCTTTGCAGAACTTATCGAACTCTTTTGAACAGAATTCCAGACCATTAGCAGTTCGTAGACTTTTGATCTTTTTTCCTGTTTGATTTTCCACTAAAGCTTTCCACTGCTTGAAGTTCTTGAAAGTTTCACCTTTTCCTTCATAATGATTACCCAAGTCATCTTTGAGTAATCATCAATCATGGATAAGAAATACCAATAGCCTTCCAAAGACTCAACTCGTGAAGGGCCTCAACAGTCAGAGTGGATGTAATCAAGCGTGCCTTTTGTCCTGTGAATTTTCTTCCCAAACTTTCTACGATGTAGTTTATCGAAAGTACAGTTTTCACAGAATCCAAGATCGGTGACCTTGTGACCTTCTAGAAGATCACGTTTAGACAGAATCTGCATCCCCCTTTCGCTCGTATGACCAAGCCTAATGTGCCACAACTTGGTCATATCAGACCTGCGATCTTCAGAAGATGCAACAGCAGCGGCGGTAGAACTTGTTAGCGTAAAACCTTGTAAGATATACATGGTACTATGCTTAACTCCTTTCAGGACCACTGATGAACCTTTTCTGATGCACAATTCTCCACCTTCCCTTTTGAAACTAAAACCCTTACTATCTAGAGCACTAAGTGATATCAGATTCTTTGTCATTTGTGGAACGTGCCTGACTTGGTTCAGTGTGGCAACTTTTCCAGCATGTGTCCTAATCTAAATAGAACCAATCCCAACCACTTTGCAGACAGAACTATTAGCCATTAAGACATTTCAGCCATCTATCTGCTCATATGTTGTAAATCATTCTCTGTTTGGACATATGTGATAGGATGCTCCAGAATCAAGAACCCACACATGAGAGTGATGAGTTGGTTCGTTTGCAACTAGGGCCAGGTCTTCTTCTGAATTTATCGCTTCCTTTTCTGCAACTGAAGCTGAAGCGTGTTGTTTTTCCTACTGTTTCTTCTTCTTGGGACAATCAGATTTTCAATGACCCTTTTCCTTGCAGTAGTTACAGACATCATCCGGGTTGGGACCTTTAGAGAACTGCTTCTTATTTTCGGACTTCTTTTTTCCCAATTTTTCTTTACCACTGCTGACAACTAGACCAGCAGCCTGATTATCTGTAACATTACCAGCGGCCTTATGGCGCAACTCCCTACTATATAGTGCTGATCTTACTTCTTCTAGAATCACAGTATCTTTGCTGCTAATAAAATGCTAAACAAAGTTCTCATACAATAACAGTAGAGACACTAACAGAATCAACGCGGCATCTTCATCCTCAATTTTCACATTAATATTACGCAACTCAAGAAGAATCGTATTTAATTGATCTAAATGTTCTCGAAGAGAAGTACCTTCCTGCATACGCAGATCGAACAAACATTGCTTTAGGAGCAACTTGTTGGTTAAGGACTTCGTCATATAGAAACTTTCAAATTTAACCCACAAACCCGCAACAGTTTCTTCACCGGCGACCTCAGTGATGACATCATCTGCCAGGCAGAGCATGATTGTCAAGTGAGCCTTTTCTTCCAGACTCATCGACTCTTCAGCAACGGAATCCGATTTCTTCTTCGTCAGCGGACTCCACAGACCCTGTTGCTTTAACAGAGCCCGTATCTTGATCTGCCATAGACTGAAACTATTTCTCCCGGTGAACTTGTCGATCTTGATGTTCAATGCAGACATATTGTTGCGAGATCCGACCCCTAGGATGAACCAAGAGCTCTGATACCAGTTTGTTATAACAGATGCAGCGGAACAGATTGAACAAAACAAGAACACAAGAACAAACTTGGGGGAAATCAGATTTTTATTAGGGTTTCGAAGCGTATCAGAGTTACATTCAGAATGAATATAAGATGTATATATATATATACAACCAAACGGACTGGACCCAAACATAGGTCCAAAACCAAGACCCAAAATAAAAACGGACACGGTAACTAAGCTATACTAGCTCAGCGAGGGTCGAAGACTAGATTCAAGGCTTCCCAACAACATTGAATAATCCTTGTCAGAAATGCTTATTTACCACACTTGCTGTGTCCTTGAGTCCAATAATTCTTTCCTGCCTAAGAAAAGTCATTCACAGTGCATTTGACAATTCAGCTAATTCAATAATTGGAGACGTCATGCAAATTCTTTTCCCCCACTCGATCTTGATCTAATAGTTGTGTCGCGACAGTATCCAACTATCCATATTGGCCTACTGGTGGCAGCCCTCTTTGTAGCAAATATATTGACAAACAATAAGCATGAACATATCTAATTTGATGTAAAACTAATCAGTAGAATTATGGGAGGGGTCTTTGTGTAAAACAAGAAATTTTTGCAAAATAGAATCTAAAGAAAGAATTAAAGGAGAAAATATACTTTTCGTTTGCTTGCTAACTAATTTCAACTTAAAATTATAACTATAATTTTATACACTATCAGCATAAATAGATAAATCTATGTTTAAAAGATTAAATTAAAAATAGCTTCCGCATAAGCATGATTGATCTTCACTTGCAGTTCTTAAGTAATTGAGGGAAGCTTATAATAATATAATAAATATGTGCATTTTGAATAAGAGTCACTACCATATAAGAATCAATTTCAACTTTCGTAGTGTTGTTGATTAATCACATCAAAGGACAAATTTTTCTCCCCAGTCAATGATCATATATTCCCACCATCAAAAGGGTGCAGGGCAGTTGTTAGCCACAAAATTGCTCCCTGGCCCATGTATTTGCTCAGTTTCCATTATTTTCTTTCAGACTACGTTCTAATTTCTTTGCCTATAAATTTTCTGTATATTCTGTGAACAACAATGAACTTCGATCACAGGTTCTACACCAAACCTTCCTGGCATCATTCCTCAATATCACCACAAAAGGAGTCGAGAGGTAGAGAAGCTTCATCCAGTGCAGGACTGACTATAAGTACCAAGCCCGATACCGTTTGACCGTAAGCTTCATTTTTCTTCAAATTCTTTTCTTCATCAAATTTTGCAAATTCTATTGAATTCTGTTAAAATTCGTCACATATGGTCGTTACAATCATCTCTTTTTTTTCCTTTTGCTTTCAGAAAAAGATGGAATTTTATTATGATCGTCGATTAAGTGTTACAAGAGGAAACCTCAATTAAATCAAGAACTACTATTCAACTAATACACTACTAAGCCAATTCCCGATTATCCTTTGTGTCGCCCTAAGTTCTAATTATCTTAAACGTTTCAATATTGTAAATTAGATAAATTGGAGGTGAAATTGGTGTAACTCAAATCTGTATCAACTTTGAATTTTGGTTTTCAAACTCTCTGATTCCCATCAGAAACTTGTTTTTTTCGCTGTTGATATAATGATTTTAGGGTAATTGTTATTGGATTTATACATGATTGCAAAACGATAAACTAATAATATGAATAATAATGATCAGAGTGAGGGAAAAAAATATTATTTAATAGTGTGGTTCTTACATTTTTTTTTTACCAATTTCTATCCTATTGTTTCAAATGTTATGTGCTGACTGCTCTCATTTTTTAAATGTTTGAATAGTCTTTATTCCTTTTTTTACATTTTCCTTCTTTTTTCCCCCCTTTCTGAAAGTTCAATTCCATTTGAATAGGGACTCAAAATGCTATCCTATGCCTATTTATTAATTACCAAAAAAGGGAAAATTACTTGTACTTCTCGTGATTTAGTGTTTTACTATATAACTTCCCTATGGTTTAAAAACATATATATCACCTCCTTATGGTTTAGGTTAAAGTATTACTGTCAGTTTTTTTTATTAAAACTAATAGTGAATAGTAAAAAGTCAAAGTCAAACTAATAAATTGACAAATTCATCCTTTCACTGCTTTTTTTTCTTTTTTTTCCTTTTCTATCTTTTTTTTTTTTGGAAAGAAAAGAGATGATTTTGAAAACCTATACTTTGACTTACAAAATCTTAATTTTCTCCAAATACAAAAGAGATGGAAGGGAACAAAAAAAAAATAAGAAACAAAAAAAGAAGGAAGGGAAATATAAAACAAATATATAGGAAACAAAAAATATCAAAATTTTTTTACTACAAATATCATTATAGGTTTTTAAACCAAATCTTTAATCGTATTTTCTAGTTCTTATTCATCTATTTGTTATTTCAATTTCTTCTTTTTATGTTTGGAAGGAAAAAAATAAATAATAAAAGGGAATTTATCAATTTATTAGTTTGACTTAAACTTTTTACTATTGACGGTTAGTTTTAACGGAGAAACTAATAGTGATACTTTAATTCAATTCATGATGGAGTTATATATAGGTATTCAAATCATACTGGGGTTTATGTGGTAAAATACCAAATTACAAGGACTAAAGGTAATTTATCCAAAAAAATCAAAAGTCAAAATGCGCATGTTGGACAACTTTTGTCTCCAATTCCTGTTTTACTAATGCATATCGATTAAACAAAAACATCAAATGAAGCCACACCAAATGAACTATTGTTCACGTTCTTTCTTTCTTTCTTTCTTTGAGCTTGGCTTTTCCCAAACAAAATTATTGCAGGTCTCTCTCTCTCTCATTGGTTTCCTTGTGCAAGTCGCTTTCACTTTTACCTGTGCCTGGATATATGGCTGATGCCTTAGTGGCAGGCTCATTCCTCTCCGCTTTCCTTCAAGTGCTATTTGATAGGATGGCTACGCCGGAATTCGTGAATTTGTTTCGTAATCGGAAGGCCGATGATGATCTCCTCAAGAAGCTCAAGAGCGAGTTACGCACTGTTGGAGCCGTGCTCGATGATGCAGAGAACAAGGAAATACGGAACCAATATGTCAAGGACTGGCTTGAAGAGCTTCATGATACATTTTATCAAGCAGAGGATTTACTCGACAGAATCAACACTGAAGCTCTGCGAATTAAGGTAGAAACTGAGTACCAAAGCTCAACTAGCACTTGTACATCTTCGGGTGATGAATTTCTTAGGAGGATCACGCCCGTGATAGAAACAATAGTGGAGAGGCTGGTGGGATATAACAAACAAATTATTCCCTTGGGTTTGCAAGTTCTTCATTCCAGAATACAGTCACATCAAAAATTTGAAACACCTTTGGTTGATGAGACTACATTTTTTGGGAGAGATGCTGATAAAGAGAACATAATTCAAATGTTGCTATCTGAGGATGCAGACACAGACAATTTCACTGTGATTCCAATAGTTGGACTGGGTGGGCTCGGTAAGACCACCTTGGCTCAAATGGTTTACAAAGATTCAAGGGTGACAGAGAGTTTCCCTACCAGGGCATGGGTCTTCGTATCAGAAGAATATGATACTACCACGATAACAAAAGAAATCCTAAGGCAACTCGGCATTTCTTTTGGTGAGAGTGACAACTTGTTCTCCCTTCAAGTGAAGCTACGAGGTGGCCTAACTAAGAAAAAGTTCCTTCTTGTTCTGGATGATGTTTGGAATAGTAACTACAATGAGTGGGATAATTTAAGGACCCCTTTCAAATGTGGATCACGTGGAAGTAAGATCATTGTTACAACACGGGATCAGAATGTTGCAAGGATGATGGCCAAAGAAAGGTCAATTCATTATTTGGATTACATGCAAGAGGAAGATTGCCGGTCATTATTTAAGAAGCATGCATTTGAAAATAGAGATGCCAATGAAAATGCAGAACTTGAATCAATAGGAAACGAAATTGTGGAGAAGTGTGGAGGGTTGCCTTTGGCTGTGAAAACAGTTGCAGGTGTTTTGCGCTCCAAAACAACCCCTGAAGAATGGAAAGAGATTTCAATAAGTGAAGAGTGGACTCAAATGGATAATCCAAATGGCCCCCTGCCAGCATTGAGATTAAGCTACATTCATCTTCCTTCCCATCTTAAAAGGTGCTTTGCTTATTGTGCTGTGTTCCCCAAAGATTACCAGTTTAGAAAAGAGGAAATTATTCAGTTATGGCAAGCTAATGATCTTTTAGGGTATCCTGGAGAAAATAAAAGAAATAAATACGAGGGTGAAAAGTGCTTTCATGAACTGAGAATGAGGTCCTTATTTGATCAGTCAACTGATTTCTCCATGCATGACCTTATGAACGATTTGGCTAGGTCTGTTTTTGGTAAATATTGCCTTAGGTTGGAAGATCATCAGCAAGGCGATGCTACAATATCTAGTGCAAGACATTTTTCATACCATCCTAGTGATTATGACACATTTCATAAGCTTAATCTCTGGAGGGAGAATAAGAATATAAGAACATTCTTACCATTGAGAATGGGTCAAGATTGGGATAATACGGGTTTACTGAGTAACAAATTCTTAGAGGATACCTTGCCCCAGTTCATATCTTTAAGGTTTCTATCCTTGTCTTGTTATCGTAATATTGTGAAGTTACCAAACTCTTATAGTGGTTTGAAACAACTTCGATTTCTGAATCTCTCTTCAACGGGAATAAAGGAGCTACCGGAGTGGATATGTAGTTTCTATAATCTACAAACTTTGTTGTTGTCAAACTGCGAAGAACTTGAAGAGTTGCCGGAAGATCTGGGAAAGTTAATTAACTTATGTTGCCTAGATATTAGTGGAACTCCATTGAAGAAAATGCCACCACAAATGGATAAACTAGAAAATCTTCAAGTCTTGACTGCTTTTGTCATAGGCAAGGATAGTGATTCGACAATTAAGGAGTTGGGCAAGCTTCCTATGCTACGTGGTAAGCTAATGCTCTCTGGGCTGGAAAATGTTTCCAGTGGTAGGGATGCATCCATGGCGAACATGGAAGGTAAGGAACACCTTGACGAGTTAACTTTGGAGTGGAATGGTGCTATCAATGATTCACAAGTTGTGAGAGATGTATTTGATAATTTACAACCTCATTCAAGCATAAAGCATCTCAATATCATAGGGTATGGCGGGACAACATTTCCAAATTGGCTAGGCAATCCTTCACTAAGTCGTTTGGAATCGTTGAGTCTATCTAATTGTGAAAATTGTTTCTCCTTGCCTGCGCTTGGGCTGCTACAGTCCTTGCAATCACTTGAAATTGTTGGAATGAGTTATATATTAGATTTGGCAGAGAATTTTTATGGAGACATCAGTGTAACCAAACCATTCCCATCTCTGAAAAAGTTGAGAATAGAGAAATTGCCAGAGTGGGAGAAATGGCACATACCGGAAGGTGAAATCTTCAATAGACTCGAAGAGTTTCGTATAATTGACTGTCCCAAATTGATTGGAGAACTTCCCCGACAACTTTCATCACTGCAAAGCCTTGAGATATCTGGCTGCGACAATCTTGTGCATCCCAGTGGTCGATTGAGCATCTTCAATGGAGAAATCCGACAAAATTTTTCATCTCTTCGTGAATTGAAGATTTCAGCGCTAAAAAATTTGAAAGAGTTGCCGCTACAGCTCAACCAATCATCCAAACTTGAGAAATTGAGAGTTGATGATTGTGGGTCTCTCTCACCCTCGCACATGAGTAGACCACCTGCCTCACTTAAATCACTCAAGTACAAGAGATTTTGCAATTTGGAATTGGAGAGTTCAAGCGGGGAGGATGGTGGGACCTTGGAGTATTTGACATTAACAAATTGTGACTTTGTCAAAGTCAAAGTCGAGTGGCTTGCCTCGTTTCCCATGCTACAACATCTTCGTATTATAAACAGCAAGAGTATTGAGATGCTTTCGGTTCCTGCTACACCTGCACCTGGGATTGGGAATCAGAGTGGTAGTGTGATGCCGTCACTCCATTATTTACAGATCTTCGGCTGCGATGATCTAATAATGTCTTTTCCAGAGGGAGGATTGGCAGCCCCCAATCTAACGATGATTTGCATCGCCAATTGTGAGAAGCTCACGTTTCTACCGGAATCCCTCCTCCCATCTCTTCAAACTCTGCACATACACAATTGTCCAGAAATTGATGGCTTCCCAGAAGGGGGTTTGCCCTCCAGCCTACAAAAACTTTCCATCGACAATTGCAAAACACTCATGAGTCGCAGGAGAGGGTGGGGTTTGGAGAAACTCCCCTCTCTCACGCACTTGACAATTGAGGGTCCCTATGATGAAGTAGAGTCGTTTCCAGAGGAGGACTGGCTGCTGCCTTGCACGCTTCAAGATATCACGTTACACCGCTTTTATAATCTGAAAGTGCTAAACTATTCGAGTCTTCGACACTTCACCTCTCTTCAATGGCTAGACATCCGCTGCTGCCCTGGACTCCTATCCTTACCAAAAGAGGGACTGCCTGCCTCTCTTACCGCACTAGAAATCTACAACTGCGAACAGTTGGGACCAAGGTTAGAATGGGAGAAAGGACAAGACTGGACCAAGGTTGCCCACCTCCCCTACCTAATAGTCGATCATGAGCTAGTTCCTTAATGATGATGCTGGTTATTGGTGAGGGCTTGCCTCCCAGAGTTACAAGACCCTCATCATCATCTATTTATATAATTAAAGGTACTTCTTTGTTTTTCAATTTTTTCTTTTCTTCATATATTTTATTTTCTTCGAATACTCTGAAGCTTCAAAAGGTAAAATCACAACTAATTAGTGCATCTTTTGTTGAGATTGCATTGCGAATTGCCTATTGTGAATAACTACGATGTGCTGAAAGGACAATTGAGGTAGTGGTCTTTACTGATGCAACAATCTCATGATATATTACTTTCTAGCTATAGATTTCATCATTTGTATTACTTTTTCAACATTTTGTTTGAAAAAATAAGAATCCATGCTTTTGGGTCATTTTTGCACTGTAGATTCCAATCAAGTAGGCCACCAACCCAGGCAGACAAATGTTTTCCACGGTAACTGTTGATGGAGAAAGAAGACCTTCAATGTTCGATAACGTATCTACAATAATTAGACTATTCTTGAAATTGCTAAATGTTTTATGTGCTTTCTTTGATGCACTCAATAAATTTTTATTTTAAGCTATAATCTCATTTTGCCTGACTTGTTAATGTGCTTGTTTTGTAATTATTTAATTCTATTGTAAACTATAATAAAACACAATTAGCTTCATTAAGGAGTGGATATAAGTTACTCGAATCTTGTCAAAATTTGACGTATCTGCCAGGACATGGATTGCTCTGTCCTAGTCGAGGTGATAGACCATTCTCAGTACTCTGAGGACCATCATTGCTCTATCTTCGGCCATTGTAAAATGGGGGCCAGTAACCTTCATTTTTGTAGTAGGTTAGTAGAATGGGGGCCATTGCAGAGTTACTAACATTTTTTTTGGAGTAGAGAAAGAAAGAAGATTGGCACAAGGAAGCTCGTATTTCAAGGATCTCAATGACAAACTTACACTATGATCAGTCATGCACTTTCAGTTTACATTGTCATGCACTTACAGTTTACATTATGAATTTTATTTTTTGGTTCGTTGGCACTTCGGTATGTTTCCCTGACATCAAGATTTGTTCTTCCTCTGTGCCATAGTTATGGTAACTTTTAAAAATATTTTGAACACTTCACAGGACAATGTAATGCAAATATTTCGCAAGTTTTAGTCAACTCCAATTAGAGAAACTGTAACGCACCCATTCTATATGAGTATTTGTTCTTGATGACATCATTAAAAAGTTTTTTTCCCCCTTTTTCTGTTAATTCCTGAATTTTCTTTATTTCTTTCTGCATCATTATGTTACTGCAACACATCTTTTCTAAGATTTCTCCAAGCTAAATGCTTCCATACCAATTACACCTATTTTAAACTATTCCAGAACTTTCTTTTGCATACTTCATATTCAATTTGAGGTTTTTTGGTTAATTGAACAATTTTTTGTCGTGAGATGCAGTTAACCTCCACATATCTTTAGCTTGTTTTTTCATACAGCAAATAGACCAGTATGGAAACCATCAACCAGAATATGACGAGTTGGAACCAATCATGCATATATGTTTTTCAGGCCACAACATTATACTGTCATTAATCATCGCAGTAAGGTAAGGTTTTTAGATCTAGAATTGTCGTGGCCTCTTCAAAATATAGTCTAGACTTGGGTGCTTTATGTTGGTTGGGAATGTTATCACTGGTTTAGATATGAGAGTAGTAGGAATTTCAAAGTAACCATTGCTAGCTAGACATTTATTTATTTCTGATTCTGCATTCATGAAGAGTTTAGTAAATTGATTTTGACACAATAGGATGGGGTAAAAAGACAAAAAAATTAAAATAGCAAGAATGCATATTTAAGTTGATGAGACTTTTGGCTTGATTTCATCCTTATTTGAGTTTGCCTGAGTGTTGTGTAAGTTTTGAACTATGTGAGATCCTTCTACACAAAGAGATTATAACCTTTGATGAGTACCTTTCTTTGTTTGATACTCATCATCAATTATGCTAATTATAGTTTCCTGAGAATTGTAAAACATTGAACTTCAGTTGACTTATTTTAGCCCTTGGTAATAAGAAAAAGAGAGTATGCAATGCATAGCAAAATTGAAGTGGTTTCTTGGCTATGGTTTTTCCTCGTAAGCTTTTCCTCCATGAGAACAAATGCTACATTCTAACTCTTTGCTTTGCGATTGCATTTTCTTTTTTCTTACCACCTCTTTTATAGCTTGTTTAGTAATAATATGCTGCATGATCCATCTTTAGTGCTCTGCTTCACCTCGCTGATATTTTCGTATTTACTATATCCAACAAGATATTAGGTATGCTATACTTTGTGTTGTTCGTAATTATTTGTATACATCCTTATAGAGCTTGATAAATTGGAATAAATTTCTGCATTCAATTACTCCTCCTGAACAAAGGATTGGTTCTCAAAAGAGGGAATTCTTATAGCTGATGTCATTGCAACATTTCAAGTTCTACGTTGATCTACTCTTTTGCAGAAAGAGGATTTTCAGCTTTCAATTTGTAGCAGATTACTCTCATCAAGTGCCAGAAGCTCAAGTTGCTGCTTGAATGGATACAATCCCCCATCCCAACTCTTTGATATTTGAGACTAGACATTTGTCTTGAATTTGAGAGCTTCGCAAGAGGTGCTTTGCCCTCTAGCCTACATTCTCTTGAGATCTCCTATTGCGAAAAGCTCATGAATCACCAAAGAAAGCAGGCTTTGGAGAGACTCCCTCTCACAAACTCGACCATTTGTGATAGCTATGAAGTAGAATTGTTTCCAGAGGAGGATTGCCTGCTGCCTTACACACCTGAATCTCTCGGATGATGGAGCCTTAAGAATCTGAAAATGCTAAACTATTCAGGTCTTTCACACCTCACCTTTTTCTTCAAAAGATAAAAATCATGTACTACACTCAAGTCCTTATCAAAATAGGGGCTGTCTGCCTCCCTCACTACACTAGAAATCTTTGACTGAAACCAAGGATGGAATTGGAAAAAGGAAATCACTGGCTCATTGTTACGGACATCCCTCTATAATAACTGATCAAGAATTAGTCCCTTCATGGAGACACTGGAAGTGTGAAGGATCCCCAAAATTACAAGATCTCCATCATCTCTTTGAACTAATGTACCTTTTCTTTTTCCCTTTAACATTTTTATTCTCTTTGAGTGCTTTCAAGTTCTTTCACATGCTAGCTTCCTCCGTTTGATCTTTTGGTATAATACAGTAGGAATTCTGTATTGTGAATAAATGGAAGGCTAAATTCTTTGGCCTTTCTTCTACACGTTTCTTCAATTGTTATATGCTGATGGAGAAAGAAAACCTTCAATGTGTTGTTAGCCATCTATAATTGTTAAGACTGTTCTGAAGATTGCTCAAAGTCTTCTATGTGCATGCTTTACAATTTTTTGTTACTTTTCTAAGCTATAATAGAAAAAAAATTTCATCTTTTTAGCAGCAGTCCGGGAGTGCTCTAATTTTATCCCAGTCTGTTGTATATGTGAGGTGTAGAATTGTTCTCTCTCTATCCAAGGAATGCACCTCATTATTGATCTCAACTTCAGCCATTGCCAAAAATGGGCTACCTATCTTGCCCTTTATGGCAGAAATCAAAAGCTGCCCGCATCCATGACACTGCAGGAGAGAAGATGATTGGTCCAGTGTTGCTCATAATTCGAGGATGTCAAGGATGAACTCATTCTATGATCAGTTACGCACTCGTAATTTCTTTGAAGGTAAATTATTTTTCTTTTGGCATGTTGCAATTCATTGGCTTTTCATTATGTTCTCCTGATAATTATTAGGAGCACCAAGATCTGAGCTTTCACTTATGCCACAGTTGAAGTGAAGTCTTAAATTTGTTTTGAACAGACAGCATAGTACAATAAAATGCAAAAATTTCGCAAGTTATATTAAACTCAACTTAGGAAATTATTACTTATCTGCACTATATTAGTATTTGTTTGTGATGATACCATTGTTGTTTTACTTTCTATCCCTTCTCCATTAACTCCATTTGAACTGCTGCCCCATTGTTAATCTTCATGAGCTACTTGATCTTTTTACCTGTGATGACTTTTTTGGTCATCATAACTTTTTCCCATTATTATTGAAGGCCATCCTGGTAACATTGGAATCTTTGAAATGAACTTTAGTTGAAGGCCATCTTGGTAATATTGGAATCTTTGAAGTGAATTTCGGTTGAAGTCCTTGAGAATAGAAAAAAGACTTCTTTCTAGCATTTAACCCGCTTAAACCATGTGATGTATCAATTGGATCAAGCTTAATTATCAAGTGAAAATATCTAATCAGGTTGTCTTATTATTGGTTGAAAAGTGGTTCAACATCTTGACGCTTGGAGAACTTGGTCAGTTGATCTTAGGTCCTATAGATGTCAACAGTTGTTTCATATCCAGAGTTGGTTGACTTCATTTGAGCTTAAGTTGAGAGGATACCTGGTAAGAGCCATATTATCATCGTTACATGTTTTTGATTATTGATACCTTAATATTTAGTAGCACACATTTTGTCATTTCGAATTTCATATGTATGCTCCCAGAATGTCGATAGCATATGAAGTTCAATGATATCTTCAAGTTGCCTTAGGTGTGTTCTGCTATCTGCTTCTTTTTTTATTTTTTTATTTTTTAATGTAAGTGGAAGGATTCAAACCCAAGATTTCTTACTTACACTTCCTTCCCCTAAACCACCCAACCCATACCCTCCCGGCTTCTTTCTAACTCTTTTCACCGAACTTTCTTAAAAAACACATGTTTGCTTTTATATATAATAACACATGTTAAACAGGACTAAAAAGACGAAATAGGAAGAGATTGTGGATTTGAATGTAGGAAATGAGAAATTGAAGGGATAAGGCAAAGCCTGGCAGCTCCTTTTGCATTTAATACAAATTGTCACGAGTTCCAATCGTGTTATCATTTGCCTATTTGTCTTGGAAAGCATATTTCCTTTAAGAGTACTTTGTACATGCAAGATGTATTGGGGCATACAAAAAATCCTTTTCTGTATAGTTTTATCTCTGTCATAAAACTTGCTCTTAGATGAAAATGTTGCTTACCATTAATGTTGTTAGTTCCTGTAGGTCCTTCACTCTCTTTCTGCATAAATTTGCCATGCAGAATATCTATCCTGACATTTTTTCAGGTTAAATACTTCCATACCTAGTACTCCTATTTTAACTATTGCAGTGCTTTCTGTTGTACCTTCCATTTTTAACTTATCGTTTTCTGGTAAATTAAGGATTTTTGCTGGTAAGATGTTGGTTTCCCTCGAATATCTTTGGCTTCCTCGGTCTATCATTATTCCTTGGTTCTTGCTATGACTTTCTAAATAAGGTCCAGGCTTGTGTGCTCTTTGTTGATTGCAGTGGTATTGACCCTTTTTGACTTGGTAGCATTAGGAATGCAAAAGGCATGATTGCTGGATATTTATTTGTGTTTGATCCTAAATAGATAAAGAGTTCATCAAATTAATTTGGAGAGAGAGGGGTGCAAAAAGAAAATGAGCAGAAAATCAGTGATGAATATTTGTGCGGATGAAAGTTATGACTTAATTTCATTCTAATTTTCACCTTGTATTTGTCTGATTGTTGTCTAAATTTTCAACTTTCCAAGATCTTTCTATACAAAGAGGGAATAAATATCAGAGAAGTACATTTTTGACACTAACCGTCAACAATTCCGGTAATAATTATAATCAACAGAAAAAGGATATAAAACTTCAGGTCACTTATTTTAACCCTTGGTAATAATAAACAGAAAGGAAACAATACATACTGAATAATCATTTTTTCTAAAAAAGGAAAAGACAACTAATTTGAAGTGGTTGCTAATATCTCTTCCCCTTGTATGGTGTCCTCATGGAGCGCAATTGACTGCATTCTATCTCTGGATAGCTTATTTAGTTATGTACTTGTGCCATAATCCATCTCTAATGCTCTGCTCCACTTCTGATATTTTCATATTTACCCTATGCAACAAGATATTCTAGGTACATTGCACTTGTGTTCATTGTAAATATTTTCGTATGTCCATGTAGACCTTTGATAAATTGGAATGAATTTGTGTAATTCAAGCATGCTTCTTGAAAAAAGAACTGGTACTCAAAGAGGCCATTCCTTAACCAGTAAGTAGGGGGTCACCAATGGTTGCTGTGAACAGGTATTTTGGGAGAAAAACATCTAGTCACTGTATTATGAGTGACCAACTAGTATTTATAGGAGTACAAATCTAATAAACTATTTACAAGAATACCCTTACTAATTTATTATTTACAAGAATACTGATATTCTCCTAACAGTTGCCTTTCCTGCTCTTCCTCTTTCCACATTCTCCATAGGAATTAGACAAAATTTTGGAAGACAAATCATTGTTGTATTTGATAATTCTTTGCAGAATTAGGATTATGATCATTAATGCCTCCTTGCAAAAGTATATTCTGCATGGAGCTCAGTTCGCTACTTGCAAAGATGCAAGCCCTCCTTGGACCTTTGTGTTAAAAAAAGTGGCAGCATCATGTAATTGAGATCTTTTAAGTAACTTATTGCCTCCAGACTTTGACCATATCCTTTTGATGGTGGATATTGCAGAGTTTCCCTTCTTGCTGAGAATGCAAGGTTAATGGCACCGATGAAGAAGAATCATTTTTATAACATCGGCAACTGTCTTGCACCCTCGCAATCTTTTTCACTCGGAGAAGCATAAGAGCTGAAGCACAATGACCTACAAGTGTCTTCAACACTTCACCTAGCTTGAAGATATGGAAATTGCTGACTGCTTGTAGCTCTAGTCACTACAAAAAGAATTGATCGCGACCTCCGGGCTCCCATTATGCATGAAAAATGTGGTGTTCATTGCTCGCATTACTACATAATAGGAGAAAGGGAGGGGAACGGTTGGCCCGAAGGTTCAACAATTGTTGCAAAATCAACAATTTTTCAATTTTTGAGATGATATTCTTCTTCCTTTTTCGGTTCATTCCTCCATAGTCACTTTTTACATTGGATCATAAAATTCTCTGCCTTTTTGTATACAATTAACAGTAAGGGCTCATTGTCTACAACTAATGTGATGGCTCTGAAAGTACTATAACTGTCTTGTTATCCGCTGGAGGGAGGTGGTTGGCAAGCTCAGTAGGGCTTGAAGCAGCTTGAATGGGTATTTCAGCTGTGTACATCTGTATCTATAAACTTAACTTTTGGAAAATTTCTGATTTTAGCAAGTATGTGGAGGTGGATTTTTTTTCTAGAGGAGCGGATATCGCTTAGGAATAGCTTTTGTTTTAAATAACTTTCTATGGTTAAATTGAAAGCAGCTAGACAATATTATATATAGGTTCTCAAAAAATGTCATTATGAAAAGATGAAATATAGCTGTTATGTTCATTACTAAACTTATTGAAAAGATGAAATATAACCAAGGTATATCTTTTTGATTTGAGGGTGACTTGATCATCAAAGGAAGAATTAGGCCACAAATTAGGATATATTCTGGTAAATGAAATATAACCAAGGTATGTTCCTAAGAAAGGATCATTGCACAGAAATAAATTACATCTTTCAAAAAATGAGCATTCATGAATTCTATAAACCTAGAAAAAGATATGTTCATCATCACTCGAGGCTAGTTTGTTCTTCATGCTCAGCCAAATGGTTGGCTTTTTGTTATTTTACTCATGCCTTTTGGAATTCCGTTAACTCAATTTTCAAACTGAATATGTGCCATCTGTATGTGGTGATCAACTAAGGGCATTAAATAATGATATACTTTCTCTGTTTCATACATTGCCACATGCAATCTTTTCTTGCACTTGAATTTGTGTCATTCTCAGCAGAACATTGATGACGTTTGCTTCTCAATGAGTAGGATGAATTGTACCTTCTTTTAGCGGCTTCATCCTCAAAAGATTCAAGTTTGCAAGTACATTTGCATACTAAGCATCATTGCTCTCTTTACCTTACAGTATCATAATAATATTGTGATGCGGATACTTGCAGAATTATTGTTCTCTTTCTAAAGCATGATGTTTCAGACATGTCTTTTAGAATAATTTACTTCATAAATTTCTTTGAGATGTATGAATGTCTGATTAAAAGGATTTGTATTACCTCGCAAAGCTCTTCAAGGTTCAGCTAAAAATTTTTTGATGTGAAAGCTTGATTTTTATGATCATCCTAAACAGATTCAATGCCATTCTAGCTAATCTTTGTGATTTCATCACTAGATTTAAACTTCTAGGAGTAAAAGCTGCATCCTTAATAAGTGCATATTTTGCATGTTTTAAGTGTGTTTTATTAGTTAGTTTTGGTGTGTTTTATTTACTTTTATAGAGAATCAACTAAGTTTATAGTGAAGTTAAGCATTTTGTGGTTAAAGTTTCAAAAATTGCATATCTATGTGTTTAATGGTGAAAATTTCATGTTTTTATAGGTTTAATGATTCAATCATCAATTGAAATGAAATAAGAAGATATTTGAATATTATTGATGATTTCAAGTAGTTTAAAGAGACATGAAGTACAAAATGTTCAAAGAATGAAATGCAAGTTAGATAGCTTTGACATTTTGTGATATTTCGGCTATATCTTGAGTTACAAGTAGGGCTGCAAACGAGCCGAATCGAGTCGAGTTTTGGCCTAATCGAGCCGAGTCTTGACTTAATTTCATTGAACTCGAACTCGAGCTCGATGAGCTAACAATTTCAAGCTCGAGCTCGAGCTCGACTTGATTCGAGTCGAGTTCGAGCTCGAAAAAAATAAAAAATAAATAAAATAATATTGTTTTCTTAATAAATAATAAAATATTAAGGATATATATGTAATTTTACTATTAAAATAAAAAATAAAAAAATATATATACTTAAAATAAAAAATAAAACATATATATATACTTAAAATAAAAAAATAAAAAATATATATATATACTCGAGCTAGCGAGTCGGCTCGCGAGCTAACGAGCTTAATATTTTGAGCTTGAGTTCCAGGTTCGAATTCAACTTGAGCTCAATATTGATCGAGCTCGAGTCGAGCTTGAATCGCGAGCGGTTCGATTTGTTTGCAACCCTAGTTACAAGCATCAAATTAAGGTAATTCTTGGGTCATTTTGAAACTGACATACAGCTCTACATTTCATATGTAGACATCAAAATCTAGTTCATGAGGTTTCCTAGTCAAAAAGTCGAAATACAGAAGTGCAATTTTGTTGTCAAAAACTGAAATAGAGTTTTGACTAGTTGAGGGTATTTTGATCATATATTGGTCCATAAAACTCCAAATTAAATGATTCTTAATGCATTGGAAAGATAATTCAAAGATCTACAACTTTTATGTTTTGTACGAGAGCTAACTCTACTTCCATCATCGAGAAAATATCAGTTGAAATTGAACAAAAAAAGAGCAAAGAGAAGACTTGACTAGAGATGAGCGAACCTGCAAAAGAGCAATACATGGGGTATTCAAGGTAGTGTATTCTTCAATTTCGATTGCAACTTGCTCTGCAACTTATGCTCTATTCACACAAGCTTTTTGACTACATTTTCTACCAGGATTCCGGCTGGAAATGAGCAGATAAGAATAGAAACTTGGACAAAGAACCTTTGGTGATTTGAAGAGCCAAAAATGCCAACTAGAGACAACTCTTCTTGAGATTTAATTCCTCTATAAATAGAAGTCTGTGAAAAACATTTTCACAACTTTGGAAAGCTAGAGAAATTCTACTAAAATTTTCTTAGTTCATTAGTTAGAGTAGTCTAGTATAGTTAGTGTAGATTATCCTTCTTGTTTTTGTAGTTAGATTTTGATGAGGAATTGAGGACCAAAGATGGAGAGTTGGATCTCATGTGACAACGATGACTTCTCTCCTATCACTTTCACTTTTGTATTTGAATTCCTATTTAGCTATAATACAAGTTTGGTGTTTGTTTTCATGTTTTGCTAAAGTGTATGCCTAGAGTTATGGATGAACTTTCTATATCTTATTTGTGATATTTATTTGGTTATTGGATGATATTATTTGGAGCAAGTTATTTATCACTTTTACTTTTCTAATCATGATTAATTGGGCATTAATTGTGATAATCGTAAGGTGCTAAATTTATAATGAGAATTGATATTGGACACTAGTTTAAAGAAGTGATAAACTTAGAGAGTTTACTCACGAGAATAGAGGAGCACTTATATGACTTTAGTGACTTGTTTCATGTAATTTCATAGAAAAACTGAACTTGTAGTTAATTTTATAACCACGAGAGTAAATATGACTTAGTTACAAGTATAGTTGATTTACTACAAGAGTAGGTTAAATATGACTTAGTTACAAGTATAATTGATTTACTACAAGAGTAGGTTTCACATACACGAGAAAATTACGCTATAACTAGCCAAGATAATAGCATTCAATCAGACGGTAATTTCACTTGCAAGAGTATTAAGGAATTTCATATCTCTAGAAGTTTTCTATTGTTATTTTTATTACTTTTATAGTGTAGAATTAATTTTTTACATTTGTGATATTCTAAATAATAAAGGAGTTTGAAAATCATCGGTAATTGACAATTTGCCCTGTGGGTTCGACTCTTAATATCCTATACTCAATCACGACTCATATACTTGTGGAAATCGTATGTAGTTTCTACCGTACATGTCATGTAAACTATAAGCTAATCATGAAATATTTAGAATTTTATAAATGTAAAATTTGACTGTGGATGAGCTAATTGATAGATGTATACCCGCGCTCATCAATGCTCAATTTTTTAGCATTGCACTACTCTACATTACCGTGTATTTCTTATAGAATATATCTAGGCATATTTGTAACTTAATTGCCTTGATGCAATTTGAAGGCCTCCCATAGAATCTCAAAGAGGGACCAGAGAGAACAGAGCTGCTTGAAATCAGAAGAGCCGCTACCAACTTTCCTCTATGTAGCTAAAAAAGGACGCTCTGCTGCACTGAAGACCCTCAAGTACATAAACCCTGCAAAAGGTTTTTGTAATAATGACTTGATCATATGCTAACTGTATTCTGCAAATGACCATACTTTTCTCATCATTCTTGTGATATATTTGACAGCTATGAAGCCTTGAATTACACCAAGATAACTTAGCTGGGAGTTGTTGGCATGAATATTGCCCACATTATGATCCCAGCAATGCTGTGTCTGTATCGAAATAGAGTATTTATCTTGCCTAGTCCTGTTACCAGTTTATATCAACTATTCTCGTCTTCAACATTTGTTAAGAAGTACCATATTCTATTTGTTGTTTAATCCACACTCTTTTTGTTACAAAGTTTGTTATTACCTCAACAATCTATCCATTTTGGAATGGGTCAAATTGGCTAAGATGGCATGGTGCATCTAAAGTACATATTTCGCGTTTAATCAACATCCATTTCGGGGGAGGATTGAAGATTCAAGAATTCTGGAGTTGGTTGAACATAAGTTTCACGGTAACTAACTTTTCAAACTAGAAAGCAGAGTAATTAACCCTTGCAAGGATAGAAAATGGTCAACAAATATTCTTTAAGTTGCAATTGTCCTTAAATGATACTATAACTAACATTCAGCAAAGTTGAAGGATTAGGAACGCCTAACCCAATCCTAACAAGCTTGTCGTCTGTGTGGCCTTCTAGAGATGGTTTCAAAACCTGCACCAATCAGTTGCCAGTGTTAAGAAAGAGCTTCTACTTCAATTGATGCCTAAATTCTTAATCAAAGAATTTTTGGGCAAGTAATTTCTTAATCAAAAAAGCTTTGCACAATACCATTAAATCGCGAATAAATTGATTCAGAGAAAGATGATATATCCTTTAAGCATCCTCAGGGAAAGATAGTACATTGATTTTGGCCTTTGATTACTCTGCTTGAGATCCAGATGAGAGCTAGTATCCACAAACTCCAGACCACTTATTTTGGTAGCTCCAATAGCATTTCCAGTAGCTTGACAATTAACAGTAGCAGACTGGCAGTTTCTTTCCCAAGATGAAGCTACCATTTTATCACATCTATCAAAACCACCACCCCGTATAGATGAATCCCTTCGAGGATGGAAGCAAGTTAAATCATTCCTACATTGGATTCCCACTACCACTCTAGAATATCGCATACCACAATCCCCTTCTTTGACATTAGTGCTAAAAGTGAACTGATTTTTTAATGGATAAGTCCCAAATTCATTATCAATCTTCCCTCTACCATCGAGCAAAAAGCATCTGAGCCTCGAGATTTCTACTTCATGAATAG